GGAAATATACAATTATGGGGAAGTTAAAAAACACACTCGAGTAAACAATGGATCAAAGAAGAAATAAAAGGAAAAATCTAAATACATCTTGAATCAAATGAAAATGAAACACAACATATCAAAATAAAGGGGAAAAAATCCCTTGACGTTTGTCTTGACACTGATTATTTTTAATATGATACCAAAAGCACAAGAAAAAGAAAAAGCAAAAACAAATAAGCGGGACTACATCAAATTTAAAAGTTCCTGTGTAGCAAAAAAAAAAAAGTAGCCTACAAAATGAGAGAACATATTTGCAAATCACATGTCTGATAAGAAGCTAATATCCAAAATATAGAAAGAACTCAACAACAGCAACAAAATAATCATTTTTTTTTTAATGGCAAAGGACCTGAATAGACATTTTTTCCAAAGAAGACATACAAATGGCCAACAGGTACATGAAAAGGTTCTCAACACCGTTAATCATCAGGGAAATGCAAATCAAAATGAGAATGAAATACCACCTTATGCCGATTAATGTGGTTATCATAAAAAACACAAGAGATAACAAGTATTGGCAAGAATCTGGAGAAAAGGAAGCTCTTTTTGCCCTGTTGGTAGGGATGTAAATTGGAGGCTCTTTAAAAACTTAAAAATAAAGCTACTATATTTATCCAACAATCCTATTTCTGAGTATATATCCAGAGGAAATAAAAACAGGATCTTTAAGAGGTACCTGCACTTCCATGTTCATTTCAGGATTATCCACAATAGCCAAAATATGGAAACAATCTAAAGTTGTTTCATTCATTCAAGATGAATGAATAAAGAAGATGTGGCACATATATAATGGAATATTATTTAGCCATGAGAAAGAAAGTAATTGCCATTTACAACAACATGGATAAAACTTGAGAGCATTATGGTAAGTGAAATAAATCAGGTAGAGAAATACAAACACTGTGTAATATCATTTCTATGTGAAACCTTAAAAAGCCAAAGAAACAGAGAAAGAGTGGTAATTATCAAGACCTGGGATGGGGAAAATGGGAAGATGTTGATTAAAGGTACAAATTTCTAGTTGTTGGCAAATAATTTCCGGGGATCTGTCATACCGTATGGTGACTATAGTTAATAACACTGTATTATACACTGAGGGGGCTTCCCAGGTGGCTCAGTGGTAAAGAATCTGCTTGCTAGTGCAGGAGATGCAGGTTCCACCCCTGGGCCGGGAAGATCCTCTGGAGAAGGAAACGGCAATCAAGAAGGAAATCGTTTTCTTGCCTGGGAAATCCTAGACAAAGGAACCTGGCTGGCTACATTCCATGGGGTCACAAAAGAGTCAGAAATGACTTAGAGACTAAACAATAAGAACATTATACACTTGAAAATTGCTGAAAGTGTAGATCTTAAATATTCTCATCACAAGAAATGGTCATTATGCTGCAGGATGGCTGTGTTAGCCAATGCTATGGTGATGATCATTTTGTAATATATAAGTATATCAAGCAACACATTTTACACCTTAAATGTTTTATGTCAATTATGTCTCAATAAAGCTGGAAAAAAAATAAAAGTCAATGTATTAGAGTTCAATGAGTTATGGACAAAAGATCAAACGATTTGGGTTCAAGTTTCTGCTCTGCCACTAACGTTTAATCTTGGGTAAGTCACATTACTAAGACCTCTGACCTTATCAGCTTTTATGCTTGGAATAAAAACAATAAGTACACTCAAGATCACCGTGATATAGGACTGAGACAGAATTTAAACTCAAAAAGTCTAATTCCTAGGAATGAGTTCTTAACCTTTAGACCACACATATATGGCCAACTGATTTTCTGGAAAGATAACTCCATCAATTACCTTTTTTTTCAATAAATGGTGCTGGAACAACTGAATGTCCACATGGAATAAAATGAATATTGGTTTTTGCTTCACACCAAACACAAAAATTAGCATAAAATATGTTGTATACCTAAACATAAAAACTAAAATTATCCAATTTCTAGAAGAAAACACAAAAGAAAATTTTCAGATCTTGGATTAGGCAAAGATTTTTTAGGCAAGATTATATAAGTACTAATATGAACTTTTGAAAAAATTGCTCAATTTGATCCTTTGAAATTCGAATCTGCTGCTTTTCAAACACTTCTAAGAAAATGAAAATTTAAGACATGAACAGGGAGAAAGGATTTGTGTTGCATATATCTGATAAGATTCATAACTAAAATCTTTAAAAACTCATACAGCTCAACAATAAGATCATTTAATAACAAAAAGGGACAATTTTTGAACAAGTACTTCATAGAAGAAAGTATATAATTGGTCAAGAAGCATGTGAAAAACACACTCAAGATCATTAGTGGCTAGATGGGTTGATAGCTTTATCAAAACTCATCAAAAACTATACTTTACAAGGTTGCTTTTTACTGTGTGCAAGATAATTTGGATTCGTCTGCTTTTTCATATGCTTATTCAAATGGAACACTAGTATGACAACTTCCAGGATTAGTTAAAAATGGGAAATAGTGTCATCTTCACTTCAAAATGAGAGATCTTAAGTATGGGGAAGAAGTCAGCACCCTTTTGGAGCCATGAGTATTCCTCAGACTCCATCTGTTGCTCTGATTGGAATTTCAACAGATTAACAGACAGACTCCTCCAGGCGATGCTGTAGCCCCCTCAGTTGATTCATTCGCTAGGTCATCCATAAATGGTGGGGCAATTTCTACCACTTTGCTTCATCATCTGAGGCCCAGATGACTGCAAGTCTATCTGAAATTTTCATTTCAGCAAGGGAGGCTCAACAAATGGTATGAAAATTTCAAATATGACTAATACAGAGCCCTCTCTTCTGAAAACCATAATTTGAGTGAAATAATTTTATAAGTTCTTAAACTGGTCATGGTTTAAAGATAAATACCATGGTTTATAAGCAAGAAGCTAAAAAAAATAAAGACTAATTTTAAAGTACTTACTGACTGTACATTATTATTTTTTAAGTTTTCATAGCAACTTTATTCTTTTTATAAATAAATTTGTTTTTAATTGGAAGATAATTGCTTTACAATATTACATAGGTTTCTACCATACATCAACATGAATCAGCTATAGGTATACATATGTCTCCTCCCTCTGAACCTCCCTCCCACCCCATCCCACCCCTCTATGTTACCACAAAGCACAGATTAAATAATTATGCATTATTAAAAATAAAATTTTATAAATTTAAAATATAGAAAAATTAAAACATCATCATTTATGATGTTTTACCCCTTAAAGTTAAATACTATTCAGAAGCAAAAGTTTTATTTGTTTTGGCTCAACATGTATCATTTTTAGTGTTTAGTCACTAGGCCATGTCTGACTCTTTTGTGAACCCATGGACTATAGCCTGCCAGACTCCTCCATGGGATTTCCCAGACAAGAGTACTGGAGTGGGTTGCCATTTCCTTCTCCAGGGCATCTTCCTGACCCAGGGATCGAACCTGTACCTCCTGCTTAGCAGGAGGATTTTTACCACTGAGCTACCTGTGAAGCTGATATTCAACAAGCAAAAGTAGTATACTTTTAATGTTGCTCTAGTGATTTAAAACAAATTGCTAAGCACTCCCATATTTCTAATTTTTTTTTATTTTTCAATGATTTACTAGAGTAGTTAACAAAATCAACTACATCCAATTTCTAAAGGCTTTGTGAAAAAAACATATGAAAGTGAAAAATAATTTTCAAGAGCATTTCTTCGATCACAAGTACTTCAAGTAATACAAATTAGATGTCATTTTTATGTCTGCAAAATCATACTTCCCATGTTTGTTCAATGTAACTATCATGATAAATATGGAGGAAATTTTATTCAATCTCATTAACAGTATGAGACTGTACAGATCATAGAATTTTACAGATCGAAAAAAAGCCTTGGTTTTCCATTCCAAGTGCACACTCTGACACACTTATACCTTAAAGAAAATGTTCATTTTCTAAAATATAAATTTATTGTATAAGGCAAAAAACTTGCTAGCATGTACTGTGCCATCAGAAATAGCAACTTAACTGACTTCCTTTGTCTTATAAACAATGAGATAGCCACTCAGAGTAAAAGTTTAAAAGCAACTTTGAAAAATTTGATAACAAGTAAAATCAGTATGTGAAAATAACTATTAATCGCAAGACAGCATCACACATGTTCTCAGAACGTTTCCATTCTGGTCCAAGCGATGGGTGGGACAGAGCTAGTTTCAAGGCCGACTCTGACCTAAGCAATGGGTGGGACAGGGCTAGTTTCAAGGCCGACATGAAGGATCACAGACTTGGTGACCTGTATGGCATTTCACCAGAAGCTGTGTTAGCATAAAAATGTTTTGGCTTTTCCCTTCTGCTCTGCCAGAGAAAATAATTTTTTATTTTCTCTAAGCTGAGAATCTCTAGCTTAGAATCTAGGTTAATGGAAGGTTTTTTTCTAAACCAGCCAAATTTTCTTTTTCAGAATGAAACCACAGAAGTAAATATGGTTTGAGGTTAACTAAATCCCATAACAAGGAAGAAGGAAGTTCAGCAAATAAAAACTCAAAGGGATTTTTGATGAAAGAATTACTTAAATTCCCTTCTTTTCCCCACTAAGAGAAAGAAATTCCACAAGCATATTAAGCCTTCACACATTCAATTATAAAACCTTTAAAAATGAAAGTAAAAAATATACGTGTAACAATTAACTAACCACTTCTGAAATTAAGCAATATTAACAGATTAGCTTTAGACCTTTTTTAATGTAAAAAATGATACATATACTAAAACCCCACTGGGTAATCCTTTTTTCCCTTTCATTGCCAAACTCCTATAATAGTGTCATTCTCATTAATGTTGTGAACTAATGAAATAAAATTCCTATGTTAAGGCAAGACAAAAAAAACAACATAATTTTTTTTTCTCTGCCCATTTCAGTCTCCTCCCTCCTCTCTAGTGTGCATTATTCATCTGGCTTATGCATTAACTAGACCTCCCCAATGCAAAAATACCTGCTCAGCCACAAATTTCCATTTTTCTTCTTCTGGCACCAGCCATGTAACTCCTTTAGAAGATAACATTTCTTTCTCAGTCCTACAAAGGGTCACAATGACCCACCACTCGCCTTCTATGCTCAAACCTCTTTGGTGAACTTAGGTGAACAATGCCAATATATCATCTCCTTTAAAGATAGTGGTTGGTGCTGAGCAGACTGGTCAGACAGGAAGTTCTTAGTGTAAATACTTATGACCTTATTAATATTACTAGCTATACTGTTAGTATTCTGCCTATTTTATAAGATTATTGCTTCTTGCATTATCAAAATTTGTGACTAAGCCTCATATAAAATTAGTGTTGATTTGTTGTTATTTAGATGCTAAGTCATGTCTGACTCTTGTGACCCCATGGACTGTAGCCCACCAGGCTCCTCCTGCCCATGGGATTTTCCCAGGCAAGAATACTGGAGTGGGTTGCCATTTCATTCTCCATAATGTTGATTAGGTGACTTGAAATGATTGATCAAATATATAGTCCTGTAAAGGTCTTTTCTGGTAGCTCATCTGGCAAAGAACCCGCCTGCAATGCAGGAGACCCCAGTTAGATTCCTGGGTTGGGAAGTTTCTCCTGGAGAAGGGATAGGCTCTTCACTCAGTATTTTTGGCTTCCCTGGTGGCTCAGAGGATAAAGAATCCACCTGCAATGCAGGAGACTGGGGTTGGGAATATCCCCTGGAGGAGGGCATGGTAGCCCACACTAGTTATTCTTGCTTGGAGAATCCCCATGGACAAAGCAACCTAATGGGCTACAGTTTATGGGGTCACAAAAAGTCAGACACGACTGAGCAACTAAACACAGCACAAGACAGCACTGAGATCGATGATAGTAAGAGTGAAATTCTAGATATGGGAAGAAGCAACGAGAGAGGACCATTTCCTGGACCGTAACAGACTAGGAAGGGAGGCAGTCCAGAGAATTTTGGCTATAGATAACAGGGCTTAGTGCAATAATAGCACACTGAGTCGCTATTAAAGAAATCTTTGCCTGACCTGGGAATGAGCTTTCCAGCCCTGTGGGACAAATTGGGCACAAAATGCCTCCCAAACCTCGGTTGAAATTAAAACCAGAAAAGAGGGGTTGTAAAATAAAGAATATTGCCCACCATCCAATTCTCCAAGAATCAAGTCACTGACCACTGGGGTCACTGACCTACAGTAATCCTGAAAGCAATTCATGGTGAAGATCAATATGAGGCACTGTGTGTTCTAGGAAAACTGGCAGAACAGGCCCTTAGACAGATATTTTCAGCAACAAGTATCCTGCATCTTTCCATGCTAAAAACACTAAAACTATTAGCTAAGATATTCCTTGCAAATGGCAGTAGCTTTCTAGCAAGATATGAGCTTGATTGCACATACACCTTCCTCAAGATCACATAAACAATAGCCACCCCTCTTATCTTTTCAGAACAGTCATCAGAGTTTTCTGAAAGATTGTCTCTGGATTAAAATCCTAAGGTTGGCTTCAATAAAATTTTCCATTTCTATTTTAGATTGACTATTAAATTTTCATCAACAGAACCTTTCCTGTAATGCATGTTTCTAGATAATAGATGCAATACCATTATTTGGGGGCTTAACATTTACATGAAAGGCATTGTACTGAACATATCAGTTTTTGAATTCAAAAGTATGTTTTAATCCAAATTAATCCAAATATTTAATAGATGGAGTAGTTACTCTGTATCATGGCACTGTTTATTAAGTTAACTTTCGAGGGACAGTAGCTGTCTCCACATTTTACTATTATGAGCAGTGTTTTATGAGCATTCTCATACATCATTTCTTCTGTACATGGTTGAGAATTTCCCTAAGACAGAAAGAAATGGTAATACATATCTTCAATTTCAACCCAATATTGCCAAAGTGATTTCCAAGATGATTCTGTGCATTTACACTCCCTTCAGTGAGGAGTTCAGTAATGTCTGACTCTTTGTGACCCCGTGAACTATAGCCTGCCAGGCTCCTCTGTTCTTGGAATTCTCCAGGCAGGAGTACTGGAGTGGGTAGCCGTTCTCTTCTCCAGAGGACCTTCCCAATAGAGGTCTCCCACACTGCAGGCGGATTCTTTTACCATCTGAGCCAGCAGGGAAGTCCACACTGCCTTCAGCCATGTCCAAGTTCTCATTTCCCCACATCCTCACCAAAAGTCAGGGCTACCAGATTTACCAATTTTGGACCACCTAATGTATATGAAATACTATCTCATTGTAGTTTAAATTTGTTTTTCTTTGACAACTAATGAAACTAAATATTTGTTAAGTTTCTGTGAGTTACCTATTCACATTCTTTTTTATTTTTCTATTGAATTTCTTGTCTTTGTCTTATTGATATATAGCATTTGTTCTACATTCCAGATATCAATTGCAGAAGAATGAAACTTTTATTGAGACCATTTGCAAGCACCAGTTTCATTTTAACATCAAATGAATCTTAGTATGAAAATTTTACAATTTGTTTCACTTTTGATTCTCAAGACTTACTCCTCTATATTATACACATGTTTACTTACCTATTCTAAATCTATTCTATAGGTTTACTTACCTATACCTTGAAACATAGATGGCAAAAATGCTAAGTTAGACCCTTTCCTAGGAGAGGCAGATCTCTGGCAGATGACTTTGACACTCGGATTCTGCAAAAACCTTACCAAACTTCCTTTGCCTGACACTACAGTCCAAAATGCCTCCATCCAACATACCTCCATTCCCCACATCACCCTGGATCAGACCTGCACGTGGTCTAATGACCCTCCCTGTCTCCTCCAGCTTATTCCATTTTCTCTCAAATGCATTTAGCCTAACATACTTCTTGCATATCTAACCATGTCTACATCTGCTTCTCAGAGGATCTGAACTAACGCACACATTTATGAGCACATCTTCAACTGCAGCCCCCCTTGGTATCTCTGAGTTAAGACAGTGTCACGGATTTCATCATCCCTTCCACATACAGTAACCCTCGATTCTATCGCCTCGGTCCACATTCCACAGTGAACTCTTCCCTTTTCATCCACATTCTTTTATTCTATACTTTCTCACAGAATGTTTACTCATTATTGTTTCAAGATTTCTTTTTATTGAGGTGTAACATACATACCAAAAAGTGCACATATTACTAAGTTTAAACTAAACTAGCTCTCAGATCAAGACACAGAACATTACCAGTACAGTCTTCTTTCATCAATTGTTTAGTATATAGGTCACTGTGTCTGGTGTTTTGAACTCAACAAAAAATATAGTTGTAAGAGTCATCTATATTTTTGTGTATAATTGTAGATAGTTTATTTTCAATGTATTAACACTGTAGAATATGTGAAAATATCATAACTGACATGTATTTTATGGCTATAGATGTTTCAATAATTTCCAATTTAGCACCATTACAAGTAGTATTGCTGTGAACATTCTACTACATCTTTTTTTAGGAATAAATGTGCAAAGTACTATTGAGGTTACCTAAGGAAACATTTATTGGGTTATAAATCATGTGTATGTCAGCTTTAGCATATGCTGTCAAATAGATTTTCAAACTGTGCTATTTACACTTCCATCAACAGGGTTTGAGCATTCTAGCTGCTCCAAATCTTTATCAAGACTTGGACTTGTCTGTCTCTTTATTTTTGCCATTTTCATGGCTGTGTTCATTGCTTGTTTGTACTTAGATGGATCTCCTATTGCTTTGTTTCTGAATAGTTATATCACAGAGAGTGATTGCTATTGATTCTTATTCTGCTCTTCTACTATGTTCTACTTGACCTGTGGATGAGAGATGTTGCTAATTTTGTGTCTTTCTGGTGAATAGAATGAATAGAGTTATCTTCCATTCCTCCTCCAGTTCTTTGCAGTCATTGATGAATAAGATGACTATTTCCTAAAGTAGTGCTTAAGTGATAGATCAGTGATACAAATTTTAGCAACTTACAGTAACCTGGATGTGTTCTTTGGAAATGATCTGCTAAGGTAATTCCTTGCACATATTGTCATAGCTACCACACCCAAAGTGGCAGAAGTGCTATATTCTCCTACTCTTTTGCCCCGAGGTTTGCCAAGATAAGAGCCTCATCCAGGTGGTTTCCAGTTCTACTGGCTTTGCAAGGATGAGTGACTTCTCTCTCATCTTCTTTCTACCTTTCTAATTTTTTTTGCTATCCCAGAATGTAGAAAATGGCAACCCACTCCAGTATTCCTGCCTGGAGAATCCTGTGGACAGAGAAGCCTGGTTGGCTACAGTCCAGGGGGTTACAAAGAGTCGGACACGACTGAGCAACTAACAGACACAATAAATGGACCCAGCTTTGTTTCCAAATAGACCCAAATTCATTTTATTTTTTCAAAAACATCAAGTAGCAATAGAACCTTTATTTAGAATGTATTATGATCCCCAGCATTTGAATTTTATGTCCAGAACTGAAAGACTTCCAGAAATCTCTTAAGTGAACTAGTTCTGCTTTTTCTTATCATTCAACTGATCTCTAATTCTATATGCCTTGATTTCAGACCAACAAATGCAAACTCTGCCTTTTGACTAGAGTTAACAAAAAAGAATACCAAAAAAAAAAAAAAGAGGAAGTGTAGGTGTTCGTCTTGGTTGCATAACTTGTCTTCATGATCCCAAAGCCATAACATATGCTAATAATCAAATCATTGCAGACTAAATTCTGCTCTTGTCTCAATAGTTTTTTTACCACAATCACCCTTACTACTGCTGTAAACGTAGGTTATGTGTTTAGAGAGGATTTACGCAAACACACAGGAAGAATTATCTTAGCAGGCTGACACAAGTCACACTTCTCAAGCAAGAGACCAATGATTTGCAATTTTTAGAGTTTCATTTCTTTGGATTGTTTTTCCAAGAACAAGTGACTAAATGATTATTAACAACCCTCTCAACTCTGCATCTCCATGATTCAATGCTTGGCAAAATCCCTAAAGAATGTAAATATATGTTTTGTTTATTTTGCATGTTTTATAGCCCTCACAACATTTGGCACATGTCATGGGCTCTTAATATATTTCATTCTAGTTTCTGTTTTTAAGAAAATAGTTATTACTACTTAAGAACTGAATTAGAGACTGAAAATTCTCTTTAAAAATAACACCTGAAGT